AGAGAGGCGCTTGGCCTGCAAACGCACCGGATGGTGGTGGGTCTTACTAAAATATTTTGTTTAATAGTGTTTCATTCAAAATTATATATGATTTTACATTAACGTTCAAAGTAAGGGTGTGTCAGCGATGTGACTCGCAATCTCAGATTGCGGTTAAAGTTGCATGAATCATATGTGATTTTATTCATTTAGTGTAAAATCACATGTGATTTAACTGCTTTCTTATTTAGTTATCATTCTTGTATGAACTTGACCTTCCCCCCTCTCTCTCTATATATAAGTAAAATAATTTTGCATCTCCAAAGTCTTTCTATATCGTACTAGTACTTTATAGCATGATACTTGTACATCGTTCACTTGTTAATACATTTTTTTCTCCATAAATTGCAAGTTTTAAGATGTTTTTGTTATAATAAATGTAATATAATAAAATATTTGTATCGAATTTTTAACAACATTCTATATTCTCATCAATTCGTAACCATATTTACCAACTTATTTTTAACACAAAGACATACCTATATAAAAATATACATGGTGGTCTGTGTCATCGTTTCATTGTTTTGTCGTAGTGGAAAAAAGATACGTTTCTAAAAGATCTCATCATTATGTTTACTTGTGGGCCCCTATATATCTTAAACGTACACTTGATTAAGGTTTCCCCTTCAAAAGAACGAGGGTTTGAATCATGTAAGGTTTTAAATTCGGGTTTCTTATATAGCTTTTGTTTCAAACTGTTTTTCAAAGGAAATCGGCTAGGGCTAAATGGGTTGGGTTAAAAAATATTTAAATAACTCAACACAATGGGTTGGGTTTGTAGGCTAAATGGGTTGGGTTTGTCGGCTAAATGTTTGTGGTTTGTAAAATTTCAACTCAACTCAACCCAATCCAAACCATGAGGTTTGGGTTAGTTGGATTGAACTTTTTACACTTCATTTTATTAATGACGGGTGTCGAGTCCGGCAAATAATATAATTTTATAAAATAAGCCTATTATCTCTAAAACCCAAATTGTGATAGCAATAAGTAGGGTCGTCTCCTCAGGGACTCGAAGTTAACCGTAAGTCCAAGACGTAAACGTGTGCAAATTCATTAACAATAAAACACTATATATGAACAGGGGGGGTTGGATGATTTATAAACAAGTAAAAAAATTTGCCAATTAAATAAATACTTTTAGGCAATATACGAAATAATCTAGCAATGAGTATCAATCAACTAATTCTTTGGATTATATATCATTGACTTGTTCAAATAAATACTTTCTCGATAGAATTCAATTTGGCGTGAACATCAAACACGCGTCAATGCCTCATTTGTTACAAAAGCACGATTAGTATTAAACGCTTTAACAACTAATCTCTAATTAGCTAATCTAGTCTAGTCAAGGACTTAGAGTTCAATCGCTAATTGCATTAAGATCAACAAATACCAAACCTAACCAACAATCGGACGCCGATTATTTGGGTTAGATTGTACAACCTTACGACACTTGCAACTAACACACGCGTCAATTGAGTATCGCTTGCTACTCGAAGAAATCTAAGAACAATTACGTATTCAAAAATTCCTCTAGCATAACAAGTTCAAATCAGAAAAAGCAAGAGATCCAACTCACAAATTCCAACTTAAAATGTATAGGACTGAACCTCAAAGACTATACAAATGCATTCAATCGATTGTGAAACAAAATTGAGTCTCAACTCATCCAAATTTCAAGTCGATTACAAACCTATTACTAGAAATAAAAAATTAACTACTCATGTCTGAAATATATAGAATCATGTACCTAGTGAAATCGAGAGAAAATAACGAGGAACCTTAGAAATTATCTTCAAAGAATTGCTCCTTGAATCTGGAATTCGGTCCTTGTGTTCTCCCCTCTTCAATCGACCGGTTCTTCTCCTTCTCGGCTGCTGCTTCCTACTCTCGACCGACTTACAGCCTTCGACAGGTTCTGTCCACTGCTGCCCTCCTTTCTGTTTTCCTCTAAATCGACAGCCTCTTTGCTGTCCACCTTCGACCGACTGCCCTCTCTTTGCTATTCCTTTCGACCGACTGCTGCCGATTTACATCCTCTCCTTCCCTCTTCGAGTTCTCTATCTCGACCGACTGCTGCGCCCCGCTCGATTTCTCTCCACCGCCTCCGATTTCTGCTGTTTGCTACTTGGCTCCCATCGAACCGCTTCCTTTCTGTCCTCTTCGATCGCCTCTATATCGACCGCCTTCTTCTCCTCCTCGCTGCCCATGTTCCGATTTTCTGCCCACGTTTTGCTGCAACACGATCTCCCGATTTCTCCCTCGCTCGCTGCCTCTTCCTCATGGGCTGCTGCACGATTTTGTTTCTTCACGGCTGCTTCTTGGGCTGTTTCTGTTTGGGCCTTGCAGCAAGGCTGTTTTTGGGCTGTTTGGAGACAGCAACTTTGCTGTTTAGGCTGCTGTTATGGGCAGCAAACTTGGGCTGCTGTTTGGGCAAAAAAAAAAAACACATAATCAACACATTTTTCTTCACTTTAATGGCTTCATATAGTTAGAATTAACTTAAATTAAATTGGCCCTTTTTAAGTATATATTTAACATTAATTGCAAGGTAATTTTGACATAAAATATATATATATATATATATATATATATTTGTACTTGTCAATTAATCTAGTTTAGTGGTTAGGTTTAAACAAAGTAAAATCAAAATTATAACATCCAAATAAGGCTAACAAACTCACAGAAGAAAATCAACGATTGATGAAAATAAGAAAGTAAAAATTACGGTTGAAATAGTGATACAATTATAAATCGAGTGAATTAAAAAAATTTAAAATAAAAAAGAACCAAATTCTGGTTTTGAGTTGTGTTCCGGGCTTGGGCTTTCAGTAGTGGGCCATGGAATTAAGGTCGTGGTTCATCATGTATTAAATTTGTGATATGGGCTATGGTTATCATTTGTTCCCTATATTGGAGATTAGTTCCACCATCTTCCCAAGTCCCAACTAAGAGATTGCCAAATGGGCCCGTTTCGGCATTGGATTGGCGGAGGATCGGAACGGGGACTAACTTGGGAGCGGATCGGACCGGTTATAGTTTTGGTATAAAAAAAAAAAAAAAGGCTCGACCCATCCCTGTCTAACTTGGGCTGGGTTTGAGATCCGTTATGGGCTCGGCCCAGGACCAACTCGATTTTTCAAAAATATGTTCTTCCCATTTATAAAAAAAGACCTATGGAATAAAAACTCTTCCAAGCTATACAAACAGATTAATCCTCATAATCAGATTTATTCATACAAGACTTAATGGAAGATCAAACAAATAAATCTTTAGACAATATATAGATTTTGAGCTGCAAAATTAATTTAGACAAGATTAGAGTGGTTATGACTATCAGGTTATTCATGAATTGGGTAGCATGCAATGAAATATTTTGATTTAAAATCTTGACCTATTCATATAATGTGTTGTTAAGTGAATTTGATATATTTCAGTTAACTCACATGGTAGAAGTGGGATTTCTTGCTGACGTAATGGTGTAATGAGAATTATCGTATAACTAAGAAGTTGTTTATCAAACTCTTATCTAATAAGCGTTTATCGAGAATCAATTACCTTATCAAGTAAGTATAACAATGACCGAGAATTTTATCCGGTAAGAAGCATAACAAACACCGAGAATCCTACCCAGTAAATAAATGAGAAAATTCTTACCGGGTAAAACATGATTACCAATAACCTATTTTAATGACCAAAAATACTACCCAATAAAATAGTATTTATGAAAGACTTATAGACATGTTATTTTGAAATAAACCTTATCATTGTTGCATAAAACTATGATTTTCATCTCATACAAAAGATGTAACCGTAACTTTTTTAAAAATTATCTATACTACCTTATAAAGCAGATTTATCAAAAGTTTTAAAAACAATTTTTTAATGCACGAAGTCTTAAAAATCGTAAAAACAACTCATAATGCATTAAATATTATTGTTTTATGCATTCAGTCTTAAAATCTTCTTATCTACACTTAAAATAACATATAATACAAGTTATCAATGCACATTATTACATTTTCTTTTCATGTTTCCAAGATACTTTTGACACATTTCACTCATGCTTTCACCCTCTCATACTTCTATGTCTTATCCCATCCCCTGAGATTCAAAAAAAAGTTCTCTAATTCATCTCTCATTTAATTGCTCTAGAACTCTCGGTTTCGCTTTCGATCTCTTGATTCTTTGCTCTTGTTGTAAATCGAACACATTTGTGAAGTCATTTAAATATGCTGGATTTTAAATATATTAGATTTTAAATTGTTATACAATTTTTTTCATCGATAAACTGTAATTAGAACAATAACTCTTATTTATTCAAATTATATTAACATGTAAAGACCAAGTGTAACTTATATTATTATTAAATCTTCTCTAATAAAACCAATGAAACTTCAAAATCGTTAAAATTCACGGCTTCCACCACGTTGCACAGATACACAATTAGTATTTTATGAAACAAATAAAAAATGTTACCAATTAAAAACCGTTATAATTAGGGACATGAAAAGTTGGTAGAACTCCTAAAATCACGTTGCTTTATGCTTTCTTGTTTCACTTTTATTCCTTTCTTTTACCTTCAATCAAGTCGCTTAACCCAATGCCATTCATCCATTCATTTTTAACAATAATAATATTCCTACAACATATTAATTTGATTTTATAATTTAGGTCATTTTACTTATAAATATATATATTTTTTAGAAAATATATAATATTTATATACGACAAATGCAATAAATAAACTCATACACTTTCTTCATTTTTGATGAGATTTGAACTTTTGACCTCCTAAAAATGCAAAGCTTTCGATATCACTAGACGAAAGACCTATTTGGTTAATGAAAATCAAAATATTTTGATATATAATTTAGTTTACTTAATAATTAAATACGTATGGAGAAAACTTGTAATTATTATATGATTTTTTAAAGATAAAAAGCAACAAAAATTCCTTCCAAACAAACTTTGCTCAAATAAATTCAAATCTCATTAGGAGCACTAATTCACACCCTGCTCGGTACGATCACAATAATGCATAAACTACACATATCTTGATCTACATGTTCCATGAAACGTTCACATCTTGTTCAACAAGTTACGTTCTTGGTTTGATCGATAATTAGTCAAGTGTAACCTTGCTTATACTTTCGGAAGAGATCTTCGGTTTTAGCGTTCCTAAATGCACAACATCCTACCAAATAAACACAAATCAAAGCCACAAGGGTTATGATCAAAATTATGTTCGCTCTCCTCCATTCCCTCTTCAAGTTTTCCAACAATCCAGCCTTGCATGAATTACAACTGTAGCAAAGCCCGGTTTGCTCGTTGCTCCAATTGAGGCAATCCATGTCGGCCGCGTTATTTATGGGACTAATCCAATATGTCGGGTTCACAAAAGTATACCCGCATTGAGTTGGAGGCTTACAACATCCCGACTGCATATAATTAAAAGAACAAAACAAAAATACAGTTAATTTGTATTAGAAATATATTCTAAGGTTAGAATCTTTTCCTTTTTGTTATTCTTAGAAAAACCATTTTTCACTTATTCTCATCTCCTTAATTTTCATGTCTCCTAATCAACTTTACGTATTGGACATGTCGTGTTTGAAAAGTATAAAAGAGAAAAAAATAATGTTAAAATTAATTAATTAAAATGACAAGAGTGTGTTTTAGAAAAATTAAAAAGAAATTATAAACAGAGTTAGAACCTGTAATGGCGTAAGGTGTGCATCGAAGAAATCTTGAGCCATGCGATAGCTTTGATTTAACTGAGCACATAAAGTGGTGGAACTTAGACAAGTTCTAATCCTATCCCATTTATAATTGCTTCTAACTCTTCGTTTAAGAAACCCTGAGTAATCGTCGAGTTTGTATTCCAAGAACGCACGACTGGGTTCAGGATGACCCGAGCCTCTGATGGTTACCATATAGACGAAAATGACCAAACATGCGAGCAAGATGATGAGTAGAAGCATGGCGATGAGATAGAAGACGAGGAGCCATTGGAGTCGCCAAAACCCTCCAATGAAGCCGGCTATGGCTACAACCAAGACCAAAATGCCTAAAACTATAAGGGGCCATTGTAGGATTTGGACACAGGCGTTGTCGGTCTGGGTTGCTAGCCAGATGCCGGCTCCGATGATTGGGATGGAGAGCAACATGGCGATGAAGTTGATGGCTCCGATCACGTTGTTGCTCATTGCCATGTTTGATGAAGATGTATGAAATGGTTTGGAGGGTGGGTTAGAAACACAAGTATGTTTTAGGATGTATGAAAGCAATATATAAGGTTTAGTTGTTTTTGAAAGGGAAGGGGGGGGGGGGGGGGGTACAATTTCTGATCACTTTACTTTCACCTTTGAAAAAGTAGGAAAATCCCTTGATTGTCTTTGAAAATGGCGTTTTCTCAGGGGACAAATTACCATACCACCCTTCCCCACACACACTTACATATAGAGAGAGAAAAGGAAGGACCAAACGAGAACGATACTTTTTTAAAATAATATAAAAACGGATGAATCATAAAATGTTATTTTACATCAACATCACATATAAAATCACATGTGATTCAAACAATCTTGTCCGACGAGCTGAATACACAGCCACAAGTCGCCCGGACAGTTTTTTAACCATTAATGTAAAACCACATATGATTTTACAAGCATTTGCTTGTTTTCGTATTCTTTTAAATAAGTACTGTTCTCTTTTGATTCTGCCTCTATATACACACACACACAACCATATATATAT